ATTGGTCATTAGAAGTGCGTTCTGACATTTAAAATTTTCTTTTGATAAAAAGTTTTATTTTGGCTTGGGGAATGATTAGGAGGCGAGAGATGCGGAGGGAGAGGGTAATGGGTAAGGCTAGCTAGCGCATAAGAGAAGATAAGAGAGGGTGATTATTAGGTGTCTTCTAAAAAATTTTCACAAACTTTTTCCAACCCAAAAGCCATGAAACAATTAGAAAGAGTAACACAGAAAGTTTATATTGATTTGACCCAAATCATTTGGCCTATACTCAGTCCTTAGAAACCTTTTAAGAATATTTTTCACTATGCTCAAACAAGTTTAAAACGTGGCGCTTGCAAAACCACAATACAACCACAAAAACTTATTTAGTCTTAATTTCTCTTACAGTTAATAAACCCAACTAGCCCACTCACATGATAAAGAAAATTAAATGTTTAAATAACTCTCAAAAGAGTGAAAATAGACTTTGAAGAACAAAGTATAAAGAGTTTTGAATGCAAGAGATGAATGCTCAAATAAAGGATATAAATCTTACACCAACTTAAATGTCATGGTATTTATAGTTTGGATAAAGGTGTAAAAAATACTCATAATCTTTTTCAAAAAGTACTACTGGCACCTTGAGTGTAAAAATATACCTGAATTTTTCAAAATGGAGTAGAAATGTCATCTTTGTTAACTCTTCTAAATCTCCGTTGCTTTCTCAATACATACTTTTGTGAAGGTTCAAACGTGCCCATAATTTTTTTCCCAAAAAGAGCTGCTGGCACCATATTGATCAAACCTCATGTGTGAAAGTGCCTGTATCATGTTATTCCCACCTTCTCTGTTTTCTCTAAAATTACATGACTTCTCAGTATTTTTAACCTTTTTACAAAAATATGCTTTAAAAAGTTGAAGGTCTAGATGTATTAACGGAGATGATGTTTTTGTTCCATTTTAAAAGGTTTATGCATATTTTTGCACTTAAGGTTTAATTATTTTAGTAGCTGGCTAGCTGCACTTTTTTTTTTTCGAAAAAGATAATAAGTATTTTTACACATTTATCCTTATAGTTTTTCTTTCTATTATAAATTTTTAATCCCATTTTTTTCATTTTCTAAATTTTTTTTTTAAACTTCTTTCTAACTTCTCGCTCCTTGAACCAACCGAGAGGGTAAATGGAATAGGTTAGGTCCACCAGATTGGCGTATTCAACTTTGCCAACTTGGCAAGTTGGATTGATCATTTTAAAACATTTGAGTATAATCATATCAATTCGACTCATTTAATCAGTTAGATAAACAAACTAACCGGCTTAATTAATCAGAGGTTGCTGTATGCGGAGTTGTCGACACAAGAGCGTGGTATTTGTACAACTCTAACCCAACCCTGACATTTTCACTTTTCCTTCTGAATTTTGACATTGGAATGGTAAGCAGTGAATGATGAATACTTTGCATTTATCTTTTGTTTTTTAATTCTTTGTATTTAATTTGTTAGTTTTTTTTTTTAACCGAAAAAATTGTTTGTGCAAACATCAATCACATGATACTGCCTAATTTTCACCCCAACTTCAATTTACAAAAGTTAGTTCAACTAAAAATCACTTCTACCGACTTTAATCCGGACAAGCTAAAGAGTCATTTAAGTTTCCACTGTCTTGCATTTATTTAATTTTATATTACAATTTTATGGTTGTCCAAAATGGACCAGAACTATTGCTTTAATTTTTGGGTCAAATGACCCTTGCTTAGCAACTTAGCAGTCAAAAATAATTTTCTGTTCCATTTTTGACAAAATTGTATCATTTAAATAACTTTAAGAGTGAAATTGCCGCAAATAACTTTAGTACATTAGGTGTAACAGAAAAAATATTTCAGGATGCCAAATGTACCTTAAACATATGAATGGAATATTTTATTTTTGTGAAAACACGTGTTTTCTAGGATCGTCTGCGTCTGTATGTTTCTTTCCAGTTTATTCAAATGATGATGAAGAAAAAGATTTTGGTAGCGGTTGAATGGGTAAGTTTGTGTGAGCAGCTACTTATGTGCTAGACACTTGATAAGCCTGGGGAACTATCTGAGTTACATATAAAATAGCAGTATCATTATGGACTATTCTTGAGCATGGCTATAGGATAAAATCGATTGTTACCAGATAAGTAAGGGAGTGGAACACATCAGATGAAACATTATTCCCTTTTTCTAAATGGAGGAGCAAGTAGATAACTAATTTGTGTGTATTAAGTAAATTAGTCGAATGAGTTATTTATGAAAGAAAATATATATTGGTTTTCTTAAAATTAAATACTTATTTTAATCATTTGCAATGGAATTCCCCCATATAAAAAGTCTTATTTAATAACTATAATCCATGAGCGTAGTTTAGAAAAAAATTATAAATTCGGAAAAGATATAGATTATTGGGATCTTACATTCAAAGTTAAAATAAACCGCTCAATTAGTTCTGATATTTAGTTCTTATATTGAGTGTTGTGAATCATATAGTCTATGTTTTAATGATAACGAAACTAGAGAAGGGTTATTTTCTAAGACATCATTAATTAAATATGTCATAACACATATTTCATGTTATTTTATGCATTTCCATTTGAGTCAGATATTCATCCAACTCGAGTTACCTTGTTGCCTTGTGATACTCTGAAGGCAACTTTTTTATTTTTTATTTTTTTCCCCCAATTCGTTGGAACCGAGTTTGAAGGTAGCTTATATTTCTGCGGTATTGTTATTTGGGCTCATGTAACCCGACTCAACTATAATTCTAACGCAAGTTCATTCATAATTTTTTTTTTCTCTCTTTATACTGCAGAAACTAAAAATGAGCTAAAGTTCATGTATATTCTATATTGATGTGAATCTCATAACTTGCATTGAATTTTTTCCCTTCCTGAGTCAATGTCTCTATATATCTCTTTAACCACAAATATTAGACTTTAGGTCCACACTAACCTGAACTCATATCATTCATGTCAACCCCGAGTTAGTTAGCCTTCGTCTGTTCCCAAATTGGTCCAACCTCAAGCTACCTGTAAACATAAGAGGTGTATATACCAGCGCGCGCTGGCACAACTGGTAAAGGAGTTGTGTCCCTTAACCATCGCCCCTGGGGTTCGATTTCTGGAGGGATGGGAATGGAGCAAGCGTGCCTGGGAGGGTCGCCCCCATCTTGGCCCGATAGTACTCGAGGAATTAGTCATTGGGCTCGCTCTGATGGATACCCTGGTAAAAACTAGTAAGACACCAAGAGCTTGTCTTAAATTTGGGGATATAGTGGAATCCTTAGAAGGTCCTTGAAAATTAAACATAGATCAAGTGGTTAGATTGGATTTTTCAAATTGGATCATCACGAAGTTGCTGGTTATAATTGGATAATGATTAAGAAAGTGGATTATACTAAAACATGGGGTTCTATATGGTGCCTACGTGCATCTGAGTAAGAGGCAAAGCGCAGAGGTGGAAAGTGGGACCCACAAGGTGTCCGTCTAAGTTCAGCGAGTTAAAAGGCAGATTCCTTTGCTTCATTTGCATTCACACCTAATTTCTTGTCAGCGCACTCACACCGAGACCGACCCACCTACCTACTTCTATCCGCCACCATGTTTTTGTAATTAATATTAATAAAATCTTTCACATAAAATGTCATGATTATTAATTATTGTATAAAGTTTTATGCTCATGATTATTTAATTACTATGTATATGTATATTATGCTTGAGCATGAAAATCTAAAAATTAACTATACAGATTTAAATAATTATTTACTAACGTGTTTTTCATTTTTAACTAATATACCGTGTTATGAATAACATTTTTTTGTGCCAACCATGAAAAAAATTATTTAGTAATGCCTACAAAATAATTCGAATATGCGAGGAGTGCACAAGAATTGTTGCGCTTTTATAATATAATGACTATAACAAACTATACTATTGAAAAATGAGTTATTTGTAAAAAAAAATATGTGTTAGTTTTTTTAAAATATTGTAGTTTTAATAAATAATGTGCGTGAAGGTAAAAATAGCACTAATAATAATATGGGTAGATTCCAATCCAATTTCCTTTCACACCAATGAATAACTCACAAGCTACTAACTCCCGCTGACCCCACCAAAATAAAGAAAGTGTGAGACTCCAAGTTCTCATCCGCACATGCACATGCACATCCTACCTTGATTAGGTCAAACTCTCGTCTCTTAATTAATTATTTGCACTAAAATATTTTTAAATTAATTAAAAAAAAGAAAAAGATTAATTTGAATTATGTTTAAATTCAGATTCATATTATAAAATATTTTTATGAGACAAAATGAGCCCCTTACAAATAAATTCATATTAACTATTCATTGTAATTTAAAATAAAAATTAATTATCTAGTCCTATAGTTTTAAATTAATTAACATTTAGTCGTACTTTAACTTAGCGCAATACATTTTTTTATAGTTTTGACTCAAAAAAGAACTTGGTGCATGAATTTTTACCCATCCTCTGTAACTTAATCGTTTTAGTTTTTAGCATTTAAAAATGTTAGATGGCCTACATTTTAAAACACAAAACTATAAGGACAAAAATGGAAGAACGAGCTGAGATTTATTAATATCCTACAAAAATATTATTTCAATATCAATTAAATAATTTATATAAACAATTTTAAATTATTAAAATGTGATCTAAATAATTCACATCTTTATGGTTTTATTAAAATATTTTAATTTTTTTGTCAGATATTAAATCTCGCTTGTTCAAAATTCATCTAGTAGTAAAAAATAAATAAGTGAGAGTAAAAGAAGTGAAGAGGCTCTCTTACTCCACAAAACTACTAGCAGCATTGAAAGTTTAGAGATTGAGTTTAATTTTAGAGATTGAGTCAGGATGGAAGCGCAATGAATTAAATTACAAAATTGTCATTCCACCTACTCACATCTGATGACTTATTCTTCTCCGGCTCTTTTTCTCCCATATAACGCCCAACTGATCGATCCCCATCTCGAGAAAATTAAATATCATTATCCCACCTCCTCTCTTTTTCTTCCTCTTTAAACACATACACTAAGCTCTAAAGCAACAAAGAGCACGGCAAAGCAATTCACACTAAGCTGTAAACCAATACAGAGCACGGCAAAGCAATTCATTCACACATGGGTAATTGCTTAAAGCATCCATCGACGGGAAAATACACCACCGACGATGACGACTTCTGGGATTACACGCTGGAGAAGGAGGTTGTTTATTGCCCCGAGAAGGACACTGGTGGCGGCAGTACCACCGGTAAAACGACGGGGCTGAAGATAAAGATAACGAAGAAGCAGCTGGAGGCATTGCTAGGGAAGGTAGATGTGAATGATCTGAGAACGGATAAATTTATGGCCCAACTGATCAGTCACGGTCATCACTTTCAGACGCATCAACGACGTTGGAAACCTGCCCTTCAAAGCATCCCTGAACTCTAATCATTGTACCTGGTAGGGTAGTTGTTACAGCTAGTTTTGCTGTTTGTATATAGGGAGGAAGCAATCCTTTGGTGATAGAGTTTTCTCGTATATATGATCATTTTGTTTTTGTCGCTTTTCCTTCCCCTCTGTGAGCTATATATATTGGATTGGATTGAAGCCAAGTAAATTTTTGGCGGATAAAAGGTTGCAGTTTCGAGGTTAATTTCTTGACTTTAGTTTCTACCTAGTTGTTACCAGTCACAGGCCGGTTAAACCCACCAAGTAGATCCAAATCTCATCGAGCCACAGTTTCTATGGTGCTTGAAATTTTGGGGATTTCCTCCTTCATTCTCATTTTAAATTTCAATCAATTTAGATAAATGTATTCAGTTCAGCATCAAGTAAATTTTTGTTCTAATTGATCTTGTCCAAAAGATTTTAAACAGTGTCTTTTGATCAGTCAAGTGGCCTCCATTGACCCAGAAACATTATTTAATTAATGAGGCCAAATCTTGTGCCAAATGTATAAATATTGATCGAAACTATGTTGGTGTTGGTGGTGACGGACTTAGAAAACAAATTTTAAAGAAAAAAATTGTCACACAATATTACTATATAAATATATCACTCAGGCTTTTAACTTATGTAAATTGTTCAAAATACGTCAGTTTTTTCTATAAGAGTATAAATTCACAATAAATAAGAAAATAGGAGCACACAAAGCAACTTAGCAATGAATGTGCATCATGAAGCAATTAGGATATAGGCCAAGGGACCGAGATAAGCCCTATGATTAGCGTAGCATGGGTGTGTTTTATCAGTTTACAATATAGAGAAAATATGTGAGGTCGGTCTGCGAAAAATGACTGCAACAGTAAAAGAAGTTCTTGGCGAAGGGCGTGAAGTTGGTGATGTAATGGACACAAATTGTGTGGCATTGATGACGGGTTCTGCAAAGTAGGAAAGTGAGTCACCAGAGGTTAGGACGAATTGAGTATAGTGTTGACCTCCGAGCAGGGTTTGGTATATTCGACGCTGAGGAGGAGAGGGTTGTCACCATTGGTGTTGAACATGCCATAGTCGATACGTGCATAGATGCCTGAGCAGAGGCCAGATTGATCATTTGACTAGGTGAGAACTTCCAACCAGTGTGACAAAACTGATTATGCACTTACAATAATATCTCAAGAAGATAAAATTGCAACCGACAAAAGGAAACAATCTGTCCCTGGAGAATTAAACAACCAAAAAGAATTAAATTACATCGGTTTTAAGCTCTGGTAAACCCAAACATTTATTTAAAAATCGCTAATGCCCTATTACTATTGCAACAAAACACTTTTTACGTCGCTAATTTAAGTTAAATAAAAAATGATGTAAAAAAGTATGGTGAGTTTTTTGTCAAAATTTAACAATTTTATTTTATGTTGGTTAATACTATAATCAACATAAAATGAGCAACCTATCATTTTTTTTTTTCTATATGGACAATTTAAAGCCCCTCCCTTATAGGAAAGGAGAGACTCACACACCCATCACATGCAACCCCCTCCATTGGCACAGCCAAGTCATTGTCGCAGCAACTGTCACTGAAACTTATCAATAGTGACAAAAAGAGTCACCACCAAAAGTATAGTTTCAACAGCAACTTTAGTCGAGAAAAAAGTCGCCGTTGAAAATGTCACCGAAGAAAATAGGACCACTGTCAACTGCCACCACATCATCACCAGCTAGCCATCGACCGCTGCCACATCACCAGGTGTCGCCACATCACTCACCACCTTGCCTATGCCATGTGTCCACACCTCAGTGCATCACATCACTAACTGGATATTATCATACCTCCTCCTTCTGTGCCCCTTCTTCTTGCCATTGAGCTAGAATGAATTTGGTGATAATTGCTGTAAAATCAAACATATATATAATAGTAATAAAATATTGAAATAGACTGTAATCGCTGAAACTACCCTTTAGCGACGACCAAAAATATTGCCGCTGAAAGTGTCCTTAGGCAGCGACAAAAAGTCATCGCTAAAGGTTATTATGTTAAATATTGTTAAATAATACTATTATTAAATATTTATATTTAATTTTCTTATTTGATTATAATACTTATTTATAATATCCATTTTGTGTAAAAAATATAACTCATATAATATTTTTTGTTATATTTTTTATTTCTAATTATTTAAGCTATTATATTATTTATTTTAATATTTTTATTTATAATTATGAAATATGAAAATAGTATATAAAAATAATAAAATTTAATTATAAATTTTATCATGATTATTTAACTCTCCCACACACACATAATTGTAATATCTCACGTTCATACACGCTCATTCCTTACTCCTCTCTCTCTTACTCTCACACACACTATATTATCTCTCTAACTCTCTCTTTCTCTCTCTAGCAGCACATGTAAAAATACTTTATTTTGTCTTAACAAATCATATTAATTAACAAAATGATTGTCTAAATATTATATTTTCTATAAAAATCTTATAATAATAAAATTTAAAATAGACTTTCTGCAACGAAATTTAGTGTCACCGTTGAAAGTAACTTTCAGAGGCAACACAAATGTTACCGCTGAAGGGTGCTTTCAGTGGCGACATGTTGAGTCGCCAGTAAAAGTCCTTTTCAATGGTGACATTAGGTCACCGCTGAAAGTCTCACATTTGAAAATTGATCTTCAATGGTGACTCTAAAAAGTCTCCATTAAAAGTACACCTTAAGCAGTGACATTTAAGGGTGCCACTGAAAGTAAGATTTTCAGCAGCAACTCTTAATGTCACAGCTGAAAGTCATGCTTTCAACAATGATATTTTATGTCATCACTGGAAGTCTTTTTTTTTTGGTGGTGTGCCCTAAACCGTTATTCGCCTTTAGGTTTGACTATTAAAGAGATTAGTCAAACCACATAATTTAATGGTCAAACTTAACATTGTTAGTATCTAGATTTTGATGATGACAAATAAAGATTTCTGATAAACTTGTTCTTTCCTAAAGTTGAATTAGTAAATTATCGGTAACTTAGCTCATCAATAAAGTCATCAATAAATGATGAAAAATTTCAAAGTATTATTTTGAATCTCTCTTTTGGTAAGTTTTCGATTTTATTGACAAGTTTATCCATAATTTTGTTTCCTAATAGAGTGTTCGATAAGAATGTTTTTAAATGATTGTTTAAGTTTGTACCTTTGTGAACTCTTTGTCGATAAGATTTTATAAGTCAAGTTTTTCATAATTTCAGAAATTATCCTTAAAAGATTTTCAACAATGATTATTGGTAACATTATCAATAATCTAGCTTAATGATAAGGTTATCAATAACTAGCGTGACTTAAACTCCAAAATGAATTTCTTAGTGATTTTTACCGATAAGCTTATCGATAAATGTGTTTATCAATAAGGTTATCGATATTTACGGTGCCTTGACAGTATTCTCACCGGCCTTTAGCTTTTTGATAAAGTTCACAATAATCTGATTTGATACTTATTGATAAGCTTTTCAATAAAATGGTTTATTGATAATGAATTTCAACTTTTCACTCATCTTAGCTTCATCTTATTAAATAATTACTGATAAGATTATCGATAATGCTAGTATTTGAATTCATTATCAATAATCTTTCTTTCTGTTCTAATACCTGATCTTTGAACCAACTAAAATGTACTTATTTGAGGTTTATCTATTGCTTATCTTTTGTCTATACCTACTACTCTGAGTTAAAATAACATATTTGAGCAAGATTAATGTAGAATCAAATGGCACAAAAAAATGTTTAAGCTACTTTTATCAAAAACATTAAATGCACCTTAACTGTTATAAGCTACCAACGTCTTCAACTACTTTTGCAATGGTAGTGTTGCTTCAAGTCTAATAGATAGTTAATGAAGATTAATTATAAATAGATGAAGCATTCAATGGAGCAAAGAGAAGAGAATGAACAACTACACTGTTGAATTGATTGCTCAATTATTGCTCTGTTTCATTAAGTTCACCAACTATGCTTTAGTGTTCATTTATTACTCTGTAAGAGAGATATACCTAAGCTTTGATCACTCCTTAGATAGTTACTCAAGATTGTGCAAATCTTGAGTGGGTTATAACCTTATAAGAAGTAAGGGAGAGTCATTGAGTGTGATCAATTGCCGTATTGAGGTGCCAAGAACCCAATTGAAATCTTAGAGTATAGTGAAACTCTTAGAGATGTTTTGAGGATTGGACATAAGTTAAGCGATTAAGACCAATCTAGTATAAATTACTGTGTGCTTATTCCTTTACCTTCTCCTCCTTCAATGATATTTTTCTAACTCAATTTAAGCTTTAGGGTTTGGGATTATTGTTTTTTATTAGTTTAATTTTCTTTAAAATCACCTAATTCACCCCTACCTTGGGTGTTCTGCCATTCTAACATCTGATATTAGAGCAGGTCTCTTGGAAAAGACTTAATCATCTCAAGAGTAAAGATTTAATTGCAAGATTTGGTGATTCAATTCTACCGAAAGGAAGTTTGATAACAAAGCCATTAGGCTTCAATGGTAAAAAATTTACCTTCTAGAAAATGAAGATGAAGAATTCATTAAAGCATTAAAGTCAGGCTTTGGGGCATGGTTGACAAAGGAAACTACATTTGATCTAATGCCACTTTAAACACTCTTTGTGATTCAGCAGCATAGAGTGTTTAAAAGGATGAATCATTGATTAAGTTCCTAGGATCTATAACTAGGCCTTCACAGTCCTCTTAATGAATTAATTCAATGTGTTAGCAAGACTGAATTCTTCTTACTTCGAGAAATCAAATTGGAGAATACTATTCAGCCACTTCCAAGACAAACATTAACCAATACTTCTCAATGATTCAATCACATATTCAACAAAGTTAACTAAACCTAGCCACAAAGTTAAATTACCTACTCTAAATTAAGAAGATAACCTTTGAACATTACAATGTAACCATAAGAATCAAATAAGAAGAATCCAGAAGGAGGAAGGTCACATCTCAGATTCAAAATGAATCCATAAGTAATTAAAATAGAAATAAATCTAGAAGAATCTAAACACAATTAAACTCCTTGTTACATAAGACTCTAGCCTTGAGCTCCTAAGACACCTTAGACGCTTAGGCTGAGGTGAAGAATCCATGGCATAAATGTTGGTGGCTGAAGA